TTTTAGGTTTTTATTTTACGTATTTTTTAGATTTTTTCTTTACTTAAAAAGTTGTATTTTTTTTAGAGTTCGAAAGTTTGATGCAAATCTAAAAATACGAATATTTTCGTAAATTTCATACCAAGAAATGTTTCAAAGTTTTTAGGTTTTTATTTCACGTATTTTTTAGGTTTTTTCTTTACTTAAAAAGTTGTATTTTTTTAGAGTTTGCAAGTTTGATGCAAACCTAAAAATACGAATATTTTCGTAAATTTCATACCAAGAAATGTTTCAAAGTTTTTAGGTTTTTATTTCACGTATTTTTTTAGGTTTTTTCTTAACTTTAAAATTTGTATTTTTTTTAGAGTTTGCAAGTTTGATGCAAACCTAAAAATACGTATATTCACGTAAGTTTCATACCAAGAAATGTTTCAAAGTTTTAAGGTTTTTATTTCACGTATTTTTACGTATTTTTAGGTTTTTTTCTTTACTTAAAAAGTTGTATTTTTTTTAGAGTTTGAAAGTTTGATGCAAACCTAAAAATACGTATAATTTCGTAAATTTCATACCAAGAATTTTTTCAAAGTTTTTAGGTTATTATTTTACGTATTTTTTAGGTTTTTTCTTTACTTAAAAAGTTGTATTTTTTTAGAGTTTAAAAGTTTGATGCAAACCTAAAAATACGTATAATTTCGTAAATTTCATACTAAGAAATTTTTTACTTAAAAAGTTGTATTTTTACACACGCAATTATATGGGCCCCCATCTGAGATAATGGTTTAGTCCGCCCCTGGACTCTCAAGATTTCCAAAATGTGGTCTGCCATTTTTTCACCTTAAAATTTACGGAGATATATTGGGAAATTTTTCAGATTCCAGTTTAATAAAAATCTTAGACGTTAATTATCTCCGTTAACTTTTAAGATACAAAAAGCTGGTATACCACGCTCAATAAGACTATCAATTTTATTTAGATCAATTATCTGAAATCAAAGACGACATTTTTTATTCGGCTCTTAATTTCCTGGTTTATTGGGACACCCTGTGCATTGAACCTAGATAAATTAGAATAGATTGTTCATGTCCTCTTCACCATACCGGAGGGTAACAGTTGAAATAGAAAATGACAATTTAGCTATGGACTAGCTACTGACATACAGTACATTGGATATATAAAGGTTTGCGGCAAGTATATTTGTAATCACAGTACAAATTTATGGGGGTTTGTTTACAAATATTGCAGACATACTAGTTGAAAGTTGAATTTCAAAGGATTAGANACTATTCATTAAAAGTCGCAAAATTTCACGGTAATAGTGACAAAAATGAGAGTGCTAGGACAAAAAAAACTATAGGCCACCCAGCCCGTTTAGGGTTAAAAGCTAAAATAGTTAATGGGTGGTGCCTAGTTTTTATTAAACTTCTTTAAATAAATTAGTAAAAAAATCTACAGATTGACCCCAAGAAGTAAAACGTATTCAATGACCTCTTCAAATGACAAGTTCATGATGTACAAGGGGTTGTACAATTTTCAGCTTTACAGTCTGCATGAACAATCTATTCTAATTTATCTAGGGCATTGAACGTATTTTTGACAGAAATTTCAGTGATCTTGAATGAACTTCATTCACAAATATTTTTTCAATTATTGACTAAATATAATTAGAAAATATGGCAAAATGGTTAAAATTCAAGCTTTAATTTAATTGTACATTAGTGTGTACATTTGTTCTAAAATGAGTTCAGTTGGACTTATTTGGAACATGAGGCAAAATGATCAACAAAGCAAAACTTAAGCTTTAGTTCAAATAAACATATTTTTTCATTTGTTCTAAAATGTGTCGTTAGTGCTAACTTGGAATTCCAAATAACCTTTTCTTTGTTCAATTGTTCAAAGATTTGTTCAGATAAGGCTTAACATGAAATGAGCCAATTCTAGACGGAAATCGTTAAAACAAAATTTCCACGTGGTTGGAACGTCTCCTCGTGGGTTTAGGTTAAATTGAAAAATATTTGTTCAGAAGGACTGTAGTCCAATTGAACGTTAGTCCAACTGAACGTACTAGTTCAATCAATCATTAGCCCTATCACTATGTCATCGAACATTTAATACAACAAGAAATATTACTGAACAAATTTTTTTTATTAATAAAAAATATTTAAATAAAATGAATTATCGTTAATTACTTTTTGAAATTATCTCAATAACATTGCCTGAAGCACGTTTTTACAAACAATTTAATATTTATTACAATTCGGTATTATGAAACAATACTGTAAGAACAGAATAGAGAAAACACCCTCAAGCAGAAGTTTTAATTGAGAAGTTAAAAAATTAACCCCAAACAGGAAAACATGCAACACATATGCAATAAAACACTAATTGTGACATTTCATATGAAGATTACGTTGAAAGTAAGAATAATTTTTTTAAATGTCTTGTAACTAATGAACTTTTTACATGGTTTATTGAAAAAACAAAAAGAGGAGTAATGACTGTTAGTGTTCAATGAATGGATGAAGGATTCTTCTTCAGGATAGAACAGAAATACAGTTCGCTTTAAACCTAAATATTAAAATAACAATACTTATAAATTAATGTGCATGGAAATGTAAAGAAGGTACAGGGTACAATGAAATCAATTCGGGGGTTTATATTTTCTTAAAAATCATTACCCCCTTCTGAAAATAATGTTTTCTGGGGGAGAAGTTAGATATGTATGCGCGGAGTGCAATTTCTTTAAAGGTTGTATTGGCTCAATTAAGGGAAACAAAAAAATATTCGAAAAAGAAAAGAAAAAATGAAACACTTTCTTCTTGGCGTTAAATAGTTCACCNCCCGATCTTCAAAAATCATTCCCTCCCCCTCCCCTTAAAAATACACCTTGAATTGATCAAAACTTTGGTGTATATAAATTTAATAATTTTGAAAATATTTTTATACTTCTTGATCTAAAACTTATAATTTTTATTTTCACTGTGTCCTGATATATAGTTTAGATTCTTGTGTAACATAATACATTTAATGTAAAAAGTCATAAATCTTGCAACACTTATTTTGAGAGTTTGTTGCAACACTATATTCAGAATCCTGCAAAAAAATAAACATTAAAACCCCAACGTAAGCCTGCAAGAAGTAAGTCAAAATCTTAATATTTTCTGTCATATATTTAAAAATGAGTTTGAAGAGAAACTTTAATGAAAAATAATGGTTGTAGTGTAAGGAAAGTTATTTCAGAGGTGTACGCATCTTTTGTACTGCAGTGTACTGTCTCTGGACGGTAATATAAACGATGTCGAAGCCTGACATGGGATCCATCTTTCACATAAGAAATCAACGAAATATTCTTGTCATGAAAACTATTATGTGAATTATCAAAATTATCAAAATTTATTGCTTTTAACCTCCTCAGATACTAAACGAACACTGATGCATCTATTATTGTTTACAATTTTCGCCCTGAGAGAACTGGTTTCAATATGTACGCAGAGTATACGCAACTGCAATTAACTTTCCTTGCATTATAGCCTTGGTTCAGTTTAAGAAATTTAACTTTTTTTTTACCAAATTTACTTATTTTTTGTATTTCTTTTAGTGGGGACGTAAACTCAAGTAAGCCTCAAATTGTAGAGTGAAATATCAGATTCACAATGATACCCTTAAAACTTTTCTCTGAGCAAGGATGCGAGAGATGTCGTTAATTTTCTAGTTTTTTCTTCTTCAGTAAATCAACGTCTATATAACCGCATCTATTACTTAGATCGAGGTTATACCGTTTAGCATCGTACATGCCACTAATTGAATGAAGGGTAATTTGAAATAAAGTTTCCAGCCCCTTAAGCAAATTTTTTTTTTATTTCAAAAGTTCTTAGAATAAAAGCAAAGCAAAAAAAATAACTTTTTTATTTCTCCCCTTAACTTTATTCCTGTTCCCGCATCTGACTAACTTGCTGAAAAATATCGAAAAATTATCCAATAATCCATGAAAACAACATTAACTTACAGGATTGTTGATCGAATTGAGCTTAATCTCGATCCCACCATCCAGTTCCCTCCATTTCCAACCAAACCTTCTCAGTTCTCCGGGTATATAAACTAAAGACAAATATTTATACTCAAATATATTTTTTTGTAGAAGCACAATAAATGTTGGTATAATCAATTAAAATCAATACTTCTAATATAATGCCTTAATAAATTTTTCAGTAAAATTTTTAAAGTTAAGTTTGCGTGTGAAATAGATCTTAATTATAATTATATCAGTCCTGCCGAAGTATGTTCCTAGTATGAACAAAGACCGTCCTAATGCCATTCGTTAGCGGATGATAGTTTGGCCACTAGATGTCTCATGGTAAGATTCTTATTTAATATAGATAATTAGGACGTACACAGGCGGTGACGTCAACTGGTCGACCATTGTAGTGTGTATTTGAGGAAAAACCACATTAAAAATCATAAAAAATATAAAAAACATTCCCGCAATTTTTGTCTTTTGAAGTTTGCTGCGGGGGGGGGGTGCAAGGGGGACAGAGCCCAATTTACATAGAAAATTTTTGGATTTTAGTAGTATTTTGGAGCGTTTTGGTGCCCTAAAAATGTAAACTGTAAGGTTCCCCTGAGTTTTTTAGCCTTTCTGTTTTTTTTTAAATTTTGGTTTTATTTTGTGGTTTTTTCTTACCTCTTCCCCTTTTTCCCTTCCCTCTTGCTCCTTTCCCCTTCCCTCTTCCCCCTTTTCCCTTCCCTCTCTTCCCCTTTCCCTCTTCTCTCTTCCATTTTCTCTTCCCTCGTCCTATTTTTCCCTTCCCTCTTCCCTTTTCCCTTCCCTCTTCCCTTTTCCCTTCCCTTTTCCTTTTCCTTCTCTTTTCCCTTCCCTTCCCTTTTCCCTTCCCTTTTCCTTTTCCCTTTCCCGGGGGGGGGGGCAAACAGAAAAATATACATCCCTGGAACAACTGACCTCACAGAATATCGAAGCTACTTCATAAAACACAGTGCTAAGGAATAATTTTCTGTTCTAATTTAGAATAAATTGATTTTTTCCGATCTGAGCCTTTCAAAAAAATAAAATTTCAGCTTTCTGAATACCCAAGAAAATGTGGATCTAAGTCAACCAAAACATAGCAAACAAATTACATATATTGCTCTCAAAAAGAGAATGCCAGCGACCACGAATGAGAGATAAAAAGGGTTTTCTCTGGTTTGGAAAGATTTGTAAACTTTATAAAATATTTAAGATCCGAATTAGTTTTGAATTAGGGGTTAAGTAGACTGATACCTGTTCAATGCATGGTAGTTTAATTGCTTTGCATGATCCACAGGTTGATTTAAAGGTCCGTCAAAAATACTTTCAGGTTCCTCCTGTGCAAATAAACCAACCAATAAGAAAAAAATACGCAATCGATACTACATAATAACACAACAACGCGCAAAACAATCAAACCAATTAAAGACTGGCAGTGGCCTTATTTTAGTTGTTTGATAAACGTGAAAGTTTCCCGAAACAAAACTAACCTTTTTTCAGTCTACTTCATAATAATACTTGAGTTCTTTGACCGTTATAATAATATAAAAAGCTATATCATAAGAATGTTTAAATCTTAGGCAATTTAAGACATATAAGACAAAAAGTACTAGGGTAAACATTTAAGTTGAACCCTGTAAGATTTCTTCTTTGAAGAAAAAATTACGCAATTTTCTGAAAAAGAAAATTACTTCAGCATGAAAAAAGCAAGGTAAAATTTCTTTCATATAATTTTGGCCATTTTCATTAATTCTTAAAGATTTATTTGGTTCCTGAATGAGATGTTCTTCTCCGTTGTTCTGTTGAAGAGCTTCCTCCTGACCTGCTTCAGCTTCTCCTCCGTATGGATTAGGGGGTAGAGGAGGATTCACAATTTCTCCCTCCTACAAATACAAAGAATAATCTACAATAAAAATATCCCTGGTATTCTCGAAGGTGTCCCACTAACCAACATACCATAACAATCCTCGGTATCCCTGGTTTCCTAAATGTGCCTGGTATATCCCTGGTATCCCAACTGTGCCTGGTATCCCTGGTATCCTACCTGTGCCCCCGGGTATCCCAACTGTGCCTGGTATCCTACCTGTGTCTCCGGGTATCCCAACTGTGCTTGGTATCCCTGATATCTCACCTGTTCCTAGTATCCCTGGTATCCTACCTAAGCCTGGTATCCCTGGTATCCTACCTCTGCCTGGTATCCCTGGTATCTTACCAGTGTCTCCGGGTATCCCAACTGTGCTTGGTATCCCTGATACCTCACCTGTTCCTAGCATCCCTGGTATCCTACCTAAGCCTGGTATCCTACCTGTGCCTGGTATCCCTGGTATCCTACCTGTGTCCACGGGTATCCCAACTGTGTCTGGTATCCCTGGTATCCCACTTATTCCTAGTATCACTGGTATCCTACCTGTGCCTGGTATCCATGGTATCCTACCTGTGTCCCCGGGTATCCCAACTGTGCCTGGTATCCCTGATATCTCACCTGTTCCTAGTATCCCTGGTATCTCACCTGTTCCTGGTATCCATGGTATCCTACCTGTTCCTGGTATCCCTGATATCCTACCTGTGCCTGATATCCCACCTGTGCCTGGTATCTCACCTGTTCCTGAAATCCTACCTGTGCCTGATATCCTCGATATCCCTGGTATCACTTGTAAGCCTGGTATCCTACCTGTGCCTGGTATCCCTGGTAGTATCCCTGATACTGCTGCCAGGCTGCCATATTACTCCAGTAGCTGTTGTACTGGTTGTAGTATGCTCCATATTCTCCCCCAGGTCCAGCAGGAGGGGTACTAGTTGTAGTCACACCACCGTTATATTGACCTAAATATTTCATGATTATTAAGTCAAGGGGAGAATATTTTCTTGAAAAGCCCCCTCAACCCCTCCATTTAGGAAATCAACCCCCGCCCCCACCCATCTCCAGAAGTTTGGTATATTTACGCGAATTAGGTCAAATAAATAAATTGTTTGTTAAAAAGTAAACAACCGGATGAAAAAACAACTTGCCGATTTAAGCATATTGTTTCTTCTATACCTCTTCAAATTTTTTTAACAGTCCTTTTAATGATCTACCTGTTAATTGCTTTTGAATGGTCTGTGTTAGCCCCATAGGGATCTCCATGGAGTGACTGGTGTGATCTTTAGCCTTTTGAACAGCAATCGATACCTAAAAATAATTATCTTTATATAATTCTAACTGAAGTTCCGGAGCTGCCCGTGGAATAAAAAAAAATTTCTAATTTTTTTTAACCTATGTTACTCCCAGGGTACCCATGGGTTCCCTCAAAAAAATCCAGCCCATTTGGTCCAGCCGTTATGTCGGCTATAGGGAACATATATATGAATGTCTTATTTTATTATATAGCCATAGTAGCGTATACAGACATGGAAATAAGTGAAGTCTTTTATCACCAACTGAATGTAGGACATTAGATGACCCCATGGAAGGTCTATGGATGCTCAGAGTTAGAAAAAGTTGTCTCCAAAAAAGGTTATAATGCAAGGAAAACTAATTGCAGTTGCGTATACTCTGCGTACATATTGAAACCAGTTCTCTCTGGGCGGAAGGTAATTTTCTCTCCTAGAGAACGATTTTTGCCCCCCCCCCTCTCCCTTTAAATTTTGTACATGGTTATCATTGGTCATGTGGCCGCAGCGCCCGGCCCCCAAGCCTGTCCTAGCTGCAGCGCTCGGCCCAGAAATTGTATTAACCTAACCTAA